ATTATGAGGATCTAATATAAATAGAAAGTATTTAAATTAGGTATGAAATTTGCAAATGTTACATCAGTAACTATGAAATGCACCATATGTCCATTATTGTATTAATATAATTTTGTTTTGAAGCTTTCTCCACTTTGCTGTATGTTGAATTAATACTACTCTATTAGATTAGAAACTATAAAGCCATTTGATTAATATGTTTAAAAAACCATAATTTTCTATTTTGTGCATTCATTTTAAACACAATACCTTATCAAAAGCTTTTGCTAAGTCAAAATATATGAAATCTACTCAAGTCTTACAAAATGTGAGATAAGGAGTGCTGTATAAGATGTGAGATAGAATGTAGGAACTATAAACTTGAAGTAAGTTTAATTAAGTTTGGCCAATCTGTTTTAGATTTTTAGTAAGTAGGAAACTGATTTAATAAAGTTATAAACCTTTTTTTTACCACAATGTTTTATTCAAAGTAGTTTTATATTTTTTAACTAATGTAGTTACATTACATTGTGTTGTTGTTAATTATAGTTTATTTAGGTAGTTGCAGTCAATGTCATACAACAACTGACTTAAATAGGGATAGGCAAATAATAATTAAAAAGTAAGTAAAACAAAAAAGTTCTTATTAAAGTAGGAATTGTAAATTGATAAACTTTTTTCTATATTCAACCATAATGCAATTTTGTCACTCTAAAAGTTACAAGTAGATAAAATAAGACAAATTTTACAAAACAAATTTGAGATAATATCTTCTATAATATATTATATCAAATATATATATATATTATACTATATATATATATATATATATATATATATATATATATATATATATATATATATATATATATATATATATATACCCATATAGTGTAGTCGAAAGAGCGTTTTAATGTAAAAAAAGTCTCTTACGACTACAATTTTAATTACCTCGTCTCTTAAGCTGTTTTTGATTGTCATCGAAATGTCAAAGCAATTAATTTATGCGGAAGTACATTAAATTTAATTGTTTTTTAAAAATTTTTTAAAAAACCGCAATTATAACGACTAGAAAGTTTTTTTTAATTAGTGGTGTTTTTGTTATTGATTTAATAAAAAACATTTTTAAAACATGCGTAAATGTTGCTACATCGACTATCTTATAGCCTGACTCGCAATGGAGTGCTGCTACATCGACTGACAAATAGCCTGACTCGCAACGGAGTGCTGCTACATCGACTGACAAATAGCCTGACTCGCAACGGAGTGCTGCTACATCGACTGACAAATAGCCTGACTCGCAAGGGAATGCTGCTACATCGACTGACAAATAGCCTGACTCGCAAGGGAGTGCTGCTACAACGACTGACAAACAGCCTGACTTGCAAGAGAGTGCTGCTACATCGACTGAGGGTTTGGTTTGGCCAGGCAGTCTATCAATTAAAAAAAAAAATTTAATTTTTAAAACTTTTTCTGGTCTGGTTTATTAACGCGCTCTTTAAAACTACAGTTTATGGGAAACTTTTTTTGATGCCATGCAAGAGACATGCAAGAGTATATATATATATATATATATATATATATATATATATATATATATATATATATATATATATATATATATATATATATATATATATATATATATATATATATATATATATATATATATATATATATATATATATATATATATATATATATATATATATATATATATATATATACATATATATATATATTTATATATATATATATATATATTTCATAAAATATGAAAGTATGTTAAGTTTTTAATATAAAAATCTAGATTAAGTTTTATACAATTGTTTAAAACAAGGTGTGCTACTGAAATCTTAAAATCAAATATATTATTATATTTTTAACTGTATCACAAAAAATTTTTGCGACGAAGTAAAAAATTATACAAATAAATATGATTTGCTGTGGCAGATTATATTTATTTGAAAAAAAAAATTCTACAATACTGAAAAAAAATATTCTACAATACAATATGTCATATACTGAAAATGTCATGAAATAAATGCATATAAAACAAATGATCGAGATTGCAGATTATGGCGTATATTATTAAGACTCAGAAAACCAATAAGGAATGGGCAAGGCAAGCTTCGACTAAAGTGACAATTTTAGTTTTATTAATATTTATTATTTAGTTTTAATCAAAAAAATTTAGCCTCAACGTTTTTTTAAAACATTTTCTTTAATATGAACACAACTTGTCTTGGCACTTTGGGATCCCTTAAAATGCACATATTCTTAAAATAAAACTTAGTGCCCCATGATTCATAGGTTGAACCACATTAACTGTAAATAAAGCAAAAAAAAAAAGAAGTTAAAATTTTTAATATATTAGGTCTACCAGAAAATTTTTCTGCTTCTTTAAAAACATTTTTATTGTTTAATTATTTTATACAGACATAGCAGTTTAAATCAAACAAAGTTATTTTATGTTTGTCTTCATTATAAAGTGAAAGTTCTGCCCAAACATGGACAGAACTTTCACTCTAATGAAATCTTGTTAGGCTTGCCGAAGTAGTGAAAGTGGAGGCAAAACTACCATTATGGCAACATAGAATATGTGTTTCATAAAAAAGTTTTTTAGCACAACAATACTGACAGATCTAGTTCAATTCTCTTAAAAAAGTCTAATCTGGTATAATATTACTTCTTGCTATACAATGCATTTTTCCTTGTCTAGCAGCATTTTGTACATTTTGTAGATGATTAAATTCATCTCACCTAGGTCCATCTCTTTCATTTCTGCAACAACTATTCTTAACTTGCCTAACCACATTGTTCTCATTTGGGTTCAAATTACTTTCGGCTCGCCAAGCAGTGTTTCTTACATTTCAACGAAGATTAATTTCATCTTGGCTAGCTCTATTTTTTTTATTTCAACCATGATTTTTGTCAACTTGCCTAACCACATTTTCCTCATTAGGATTGGAATTAATTTCTGCTCACCAAGCAGCATTTCTTACATTTTGACGACAATTGTTTTCATCTTGTCTAGCTCTATCTCTTTCATTTCAACAACAGTTATTTTCAAGTCCTCTATTAGCCTTTAAACTAATAACTTATTCAAGTCTTATATCATCCTCTTTAATTTCACTATTATCATAAAGCATATTACCAGTAGTATTACTAATATTACTATATAACAAATAAATGTTAAAATGTCTTGTGATCTTTTCTATAAAATTTACTACTATTCTAAAGTGAACAAAAGAAAAAATAAGTATCTTTTATAAATTTTATTTAAAAAAAATTAAATAATTAGAGACTAAGTTAAATAAAATAAAAATATATACTATTCTCAAGTTAAAAAACATGTTTTTAAGAACATATCTGTAAAGAGATAAAAAACAAAAAAATGATAATATACAATATTCTAAATCAAATTAAAGTCAACAAAATCCTACAATTCTAACAACAAAGAAGTAATGGTAATTTTGGTAATAAAAAAAAACACCATGTTGAATTTTTGTTTTATATCTATAAAACAATTTTATTAAACTATTTAAAAGAGCAAAAAAAAAAAAAAAAAAAAACGTCTTTTATAAAGCAATACACCTAAAAAAAAAAAAAAAAATCAAATGCAATTAATTTAGAATATATATATATATATATATATATATATATATATATATATATATATATATATTATTTTTTATTTTAATTCACCTCCTCAAGGCCAAGAAGGCCACTGTAGACAAGGAGGCTACTTATTTGTGGTTGTAACCATCTCTCAACTCTATAACTCTGAAACTCGAACCTTGATGAACAAGGCCGCTGTGTGGAGAAATGAGTTGAGCGCGGTCCTACCAGGGACGTGGTGGGGATCGAACTCGGAACCACTTGTTTATGAAGCTTGCGCTCTACCACTATACCACTACCGCATATATATATATAAACCTCTTTCATTTAACAAAAATTAAACCAATTTTATAAAAATTTTAAGAAATTTTCAAAATAAAAAATGTTAATGTAAGATGAAATCTTTTTATAAGTTTGTTTACAAATTGGTTTGACAAAAAATTAATATAAAATAATTATGAAATGAACTTAGATTTCAATCATGAATATAAAACAATATTTAATAACATCAATTATTTATAATTTAACAAATAATGCAGATTAAAATAATATTCTAATACCTTTAAAAAGAAAAAGAAAACAAAAAAACACAGATAAAAATAATCTTTAAAAAAAATTCTACTTTCAGCAGATTTATTTTTTGTTTTTTCTATTCCTTATTATTTTATCTATGAGAAAATATACATATAAATACAGAGAGGTATAAAATTACTGAAGTATACGCACATTTATGTATACAAACTTACATGTTAACAAATAAGTCTTTATTTTTTCATGTTAATTAAAAAAAAAAAATTATTCTAATTAATTCTTCTAATTTCATGCAAAAAAAAAAAAATCTATAAATAATAAAATGAATTAAACTAAAAAGGGCTTCAGCTTCTTCATTTGGTTCTGATATATAAAACAAACTTGCTTAAAATGTTCTAAAAAAGACTTGAAAACTAAAACATTTTACTAAAAAAACTACTTTGCCAGTCGTTTTAGTGCTAACTTTTAAAAAAAGAAAATAAATTCTAAACAGACTTGAAAAATTGGAAAAAAAAAACAACCAACAACAAACTTTTATTTATTAAAACTACTAAACTAAAATTAAATAAACTAAACTAAAATTAGATATAGAACAACAATAATTCTCCTTGAAAGCTAAGAAAAATTCATTAGCTTTAAATTGCTTGCAGACCTTGTTTAAAAGACTGCGTAAGCTTTAAGAAACGCAATCAGAAAAGCCTAGTAACTACTTAAAAAAGATGTAAGGTAATGTTAAATGGTAAATGTTAACTGGAGGATTAATATTTATTAATATTTAATATTAATATCTACTTGCTTTAAAATGAGTAGGATTATTAAAATTATTTTGGTTTCAAGATTTTTTTTAATTGTTAGTTTTTGTTATTTAGGTGGTTCTCAATCATTTAAAGAAAAGCAAAAGTTTTTTTATAACACAATAGAAAACATGCACCCACGCAGTAGTATGACAACAGCATTTATTGAAGTTAGTCGAGAAAACTTGCTTAATGATGTAAGAATTTATTTTTTCTATTATTGTTTTTAAAAAAAAATGTTCAAAACTTATGTCTTTTTTTGAAAATTAAGTTTAATAGGGTACCGTTGTGGTTCTAAAAATAGATTTGATGAACTTTTGGCAAAGTTTTCTAGGATCGAAATGCAGACAACCAATACAAACTGCAAAGAAACTCATTACCAATTCTAAAGAAAATGTGTATAAAAGTACAATAAAACAATGTGATTAGGATTTATTCTCATCAAATTCTTGCTACTTTGAATATATATCAGCTGGTGTAATAAAAAAAAAATCGAAACAGTTAAAGACTCAATGATAAACCTGGAAAAAAGGATAAAAGAAAAATAAAGCTTTCGAAATTATATATTTAAACTAAAAGTTTACGTCTTGCAGATTTTCTTGTCAAAAAGAATGAAAATTATATTAACATAGATGCAAACAATATGTATAATCATTATACAAAAGAAATTTGTAAACTCTTCATTAGTTCTGATATAAATACAGAATGCAGCATTGTTGATTTTAATACTGTTAATGGACATGATTTAACTGTTGACTTTTTGTATGATTTAGTTCTTTATTATATGAATATGAAAAATATATTTTTTCACTTTTATATTTTAGCTCAAGAAGTGTGAGGGTTAAAACGACCTTATAGTAATCTGTAAAAAAGCATAAGCATGTATCAAATTTTATATATGAGTAGCATCATTATTGGTGTGGCTTTATTTCAGAATTGTTGAATTATAGAATTTATTAACTTTCAAGATTTTCTTGCCTAAAAAAAGACTTGCTTCTACAGAAACAAGCAACTATTTATATCGCATTGTTTTAAAGTGTGTGATAAGTTTACAAAAGAAGAGGTCGTGCAATCAAAAAGAATTGTAAAAAATACAAGTTTATTTTGAACAATTCAACTGACATATTTGTTTAGGAAAAAGTAAACAATTTAATCGAAAGTTTAGATTATTTGATGGAGTAATGCTTTGTTTATTGGCACTAGTATATTAATTAGTTTATTTTACTTCATAATTGGTAAACTTCTAATAATCCTTGTGTGATTGAATATCTTTGTAAAAATTTAAATTTTGCTTTTACAAATTTAACTGTTTATTTATTTTGTTACTTTTTTTCGCTAATTGCAATTTTTTCACTTTTTTTTCTGTGTATATAAGGGTTTCTTTGTGTAAACCTTATACAAGCATTAATGCAAAAATAAAGTAAATTTAAAAAGATTAAAAACCATTTTAAACAAATTTTTCAGAATTGAAATTTAAGCTTTCTTATAAATTATGGCTAAAAACTTATTCATAAATATTTTTGTAAATGCATACTTATTTTATTTGGTCTCAACTTTTAAAAAGAAATTTATAAATTTATTAACTAAATATATTTTTAATATTTTTATGTTAAAAATATTATTTTAACAGTCAATGTTTAGAGAGTTAGGTAATATTTTTCTGACCTTGTGAAATTCTTTTTGTTTATGCGTTTACTCTCAAGTGCTTAACATGAAGGAGGAATAATTAATTAACTTTAGGAAAATAATTAGTTAACTTTTGGAAAATATATTTGGAAAGTTTGTTTATTAAATTTCAGTTATTGCTAAAGAAAACTATCTAGTGATGAAAATAAAAACTTGTAGTAATCAGGCTTTAAATTTTCAAATTCAAACTAAATGATCAAAATCAAAACTTTCATTGTTATCAGCTCTTAAAAATTTGCAAACACTAAACAAGAAATAAAAAAGTTATTGAGAGTTTGTATTGAAAACTGAATAATTTGTATTGTTGATGTTATACATTTTTGAGTTATTTGTCCGCATTTCTATCCCAGAATCCTTAGTTTTAGTTTATTCAATATATGCATGACAAAAGCTAAATGGTACCCTATTATAGCAAATAATTTAGATTTACCAGTTTAAGTTCTTTATAAAAATTGCGTATAAATTATTATGTTTAATAATTGATTATTTAGAAATTCGATTTTTTTGATTTTTATGGAAATTTGTATTATTTTGTTAATGTTTTTAAATTTATTTGACTTTAGTTTGATTTATGAATTTTAGTTGAATTTTTATGTTATATATATATATATATATATATATATATATATATATATATATATATATATATATATATATAAAATATATATATATATATATATATATATATATATATATATATATATATATATATATATATATATATATATATATATATATGTATATATATACATATATATATATATATATATATATATATATATATATATATATATATATATATATATATATATATATATATATATATATATATATATAAATTCTATTTTTTTATTGCATTAGTAACTTTTTTTTTTCAATTTTATATCAATGAAAACCATTAATTTAGGCTATGCATTCTGTTAAATCGTACAGTCAATCTGATTGGTGGAGAAAATTGCAAATTAAATTTAAGGGAGAAAATGGTTGATAAATTGGATTTCGAATATTTTTTTTCTTTATACATTTCTTTTTTTTTGATAATTATATACTTAGAGAACTGATTCTGTGTAAATAATTTTTCTCATTGTGATGGTGAAACATTTATTTTTATTTTAAAAAAATATATTTTTTTACAGGAATTGATTATGGAGGCCTAACTCGAGAATTTATACAACTGCTGTTATCAGAGTTATTACATAAAAAGGGTGCATTGTTTAGGAAGTTTAATGATGATGATTCACAAGCACTGGCAAGTTTATATATATATATATATATATATATATATATATATATATATATATATATATATATATATATATATATATATATATATATATATATATATATGTATATAATTTTAATCACTAATAGTTATTAAATAAAACAAATAGCAATAAATATAGATTTTTTTAAAGGTCTTTTGGATCAGGTAGAATACTTAAAAATTAAAAATAGGAAGATTACTGCATTCCTAATTTTGTCAAAAAATTGTTTTGAGATGAAGCTAGGTTTTTTTAGAAACTTAAAAAAGCAGGTCATGAACTTTTCTTTAAATATCTAGACAAACTTAAAATAACAACTTAGTCTTCTTTGTTACTTTGAATATTTCAGTTATTATTTAAATCAAAGGTGAGTTGAAATAATGCTTGTGGTTTTCGAGGGGTGCATGGGGGAGTAAACATAAACAAAGATAAGCTTGTGATCATTACAGCAGTATCCATCAAAACAGGTCAGTGCAATTATTACCAGTTTTTATTGATTATTTAAAGCAAGTTTTTTTTTAGTTAAAGACTTTTTCAAATCTTTGTTTTAACTTTAAAAACACACCTGAAATTGTTTTTTTCTATTTCACTTGAACATTGCTTTATTAGTTAAACGTTTTGATGAATTAACTTCACTTTTATCTCTAATAAATTATGAATTCAGTTCATTTGTAATAACAGAAATAAATTAGGAATTCAGTACACTTGTAATAACAGAAATAAATTAGGAATTCAGTACACTTGTAATAACAGAAATAAATTAGGAATTCAGTACACTTGAAATAACAGAAATCAATTAGGAATTCAGTACACTTGTAATAACAGAAACTAAAATATAGTTTACTGCCTAAGTGCTTTAGTTGATGAAATATTTTTTAAATTCAATATCTAAAGATATTTTCTTTAGTTAATGAAATATTTTTTAAATTCAATATCTAAAGATATTTTCTTTAGTTAATGAAATATTTTTTAAATTCAATATCTAAAAATATTTTCTTTAGTTAATGAAATATTTTTTAAATTCAATATCTAAAGATATTTTCTTTAGTTAATGAAATATTTTTTAAATTCAATATCTAAAGATATTTTCTAACTATTAGAGTAACGGATCATTTGTCTTAGTTTATTTATTTTTTTAAAAAAAGAAAAATATGTTCTCATAAATCTTAGAAATCCTATCTTAGAAACTTGAAAAAATAAAATAGTCAAGAATTCAGGAATGATTACTAAAAAAGAAACTGGGATCAAAGTTTCCAATGGTTACTAAAAAATTGTTTAAAGCTTTAACTCTCTTCTAGACAAACACACACCGCTTAAGAAACTAAGTAAGGCTTAACTCAGATAACCATGGCTTCAGCAATTTTTTTTTTTTTTTTTTAAGTTGATTAAGGTGCCCCAAGAAGTCCTTACGGTCTTATCACAGAGCACCACGGAAGAGCATTTAATGGGGAGTTCACGCCTCCTTCCCAACCGATGTCGCAAAACTTGCCCAGAGGTGGGGTTTGAACCTCGGATCTTACGGATCAATTCAAACCTTAAACCTTGGATCTTACGGATCAATTCAAACCTTAATAAAAAAAAAAAAAATGTTTTTAAAATTTCTCAAAACAAAAAATGACTAACTAAATCAAAACTTACAAAAAACTATAAAAATTTACTTGTAACAATCAATGAAGCAAAAAAAAAATAAACATTTTTTCTACTAATGTACGTTCAAAAGAAAGCTTATACCTTTTTAGTGTATCTATAAACAGCACTATACACACTCCAGTTTAAACAGCACTATACACAATCCAGTTTAAATCTCAGAAATTTTTAACTCCTTTGTTATTTCAATCCCTGAAGAACTGCAAAAAAATATTTACTCATCCTGTATTGGTAAGAATGGGATAAGTGAATATTTTTTTGCTTTTCTTCATGGATAAAAAATAAGTTGAAAATTTTCAAGATTTGACTGGATCATGTATAATGGTTTTGTATTCATTAAACCTAGTGACAAAAATGAAACCATGTCACTTATTCTGTCTTTAAATGATGACTTCTGGTCCAAACTGAAAAAAAATTAAATGCAACCTTTATTCTTAAACTTTTTGCTCATAATATATCTCCAATACATAACTACTTTATCTCTCATTCACTTATTTGTATTATTTCATATATTGCTATTATTTTAAAAACTGCATCTATTGAGCCAATCTTGACTTGCAATAACTATAGACCAACTTGGCTACAAAAACTATAGACTAATACATTATTATCAAGTATCAGCAAAATTCTTGAAAAATTAATGTATTCTTGTTTCTACTATTTTATTGATAATTCTAAGTGTTTCTACGACCTATCATGGTACTATCAACTAATTCAATTAAATAAACTCTCATGAGACTGTAGGTTTCATCAACACAATACTATGTTCCCTAACATACTCTAATATCAATTTACTATTCCTTTTTTTTTCTGTATTTTATTTTAAATTCTTTATATGTTGTTTCGGATATATTTTTTTAGGTGTCACACCATTGATTTATTTTTAAATATACGAGTGACACCAAACTTTATTTATGTTTATCCATTGTGAATTTTTATATTTTATGGTAAAATAAATGGACAAAAAGTTTACAAAAAAGCAATATTAAGCAATACTCTGGATATCTGGTCAATATATGATATATCTGGCCTGACAGGAAGTGTTAAATATTTAGTATAGTATGATATCATTGGTATAATGATTTTATATCTGATAAACCTCTAAATATAATCCAAATGTTTTTTCTTTTTTGTTGTTTTTGCATAATATAATCTCAATGTTTTTTTGTTGGCATTATATTATATAATCTCAATGTTTAGATTCATCCCAATCCTTTTCGTGAAAAAACCTATCAAAACATAAAGCTGTATGAATTCCTTGGTTTACTTATTGGAAAGTGTTTAGTTGAATGTTCTTTTGGTCAAGTAAGGCAGTTATTTATCAAAGCCAGGTTTTCAAGATCATTTTTGTCACTTATACTGGGTTATGGAGTTAGTTGGAAGGTAACCAGTTAAATTTAGAAAACTTGATTATTACTTGTTATGTAATTTTGATTACATAAACATTGGTTATGACTTGTTATGTAATGATAATGACTTGTTATACAATAATTATTAGTTCCATGGTTTTACACTTGTGTGGAATCATGGAACTTTTTTATTTAAACATTTAATAAAAAATTAAGTAATATGATAGTAAAATCTGAATTTTGCAGAAACTTTTTGTTAAAACATAAACAAAAAACAAACTGAGCTGTTACAGTGCAATATCTACTGTTATTGCACTTCGCAACTGTTAACACCAGCTGTCAGTTGTTCTCACCAGTTGTCAGTTGTTACAGCCAGTTGTTCTCACCAGTTGTCAGTTGTTACAGCCAGTTGTTCTCATCAGTTGTCAGTTGTTACAGCCAGTTGTTCTCACCAGTTGTCAGTTGTTACAGCCAGTTGTTCTCACCAGTTGTCAGTTGTTACAGCCAGTTGTTCTCACCAGTTGTCAGTTGTTACCTTATTATTATAATGATTGAAACTAAAAAAAATTTATATATATATATATATATATATATATATATATATATATATATATATATATATATATATATATATATATATACACACACACACACGCACACGCACACACACATATTTTTTTATTTTTTATTTAACTCACCTCCTCAAGGCCGAGAAGGCCACTACAGACGAGGAGGCTACTTATTTGTGGTTATAACCCTCTCTCAACTCTATAACTCCGAAACACAAACCTTGATGAACAAGGTCGCTGCGCGGAGAAACGAGTTGAGCGCGGTACTACCAGGGACGTGGTGGAGATCGAACTCGGAACCATTTGTTTATAAAGCGAGCACTCTACCATTACACCACTACTGTATATACAGTCCCCGATCAAATTATTAGCTCACATTGATATTTTTTTGTATTTTTTATCTTCTTAGAGGTAAAACTTATGTTTTTATAAAAATATAGATAAAAACTTTATATATAAATAAAGTATAACTTTTTTTTTAATTAAGGTACACAAAATAACAATAAGAATGTTTATTAACATGAATTTTTATTATTTTGTTAATACTCCCTTATTTTTTTAACTGCACAAAAATGATTCAGCATGCTATAAATGCAATTTAAAGCCATTTCTTTCAAATATGCATAATGGTTCCAATGCCAAATAACTTTTTAAATAAATTGGGTTCTATTTTGATCTTTTCTAGCTCTCTTTAATAGCTCCCATACATTTTCTATGGGGTTTAAATCTGGGGAGTTCCCTGGCCAATCCAAAATTTGTAGAAATGCTAAAAGTTTTTTAATGGATTTTGCTGTGTGACGTGGTGCTCCATCTTGCATAAATATTTTTTTCTGCTTATTTGGAAACAACTTCAATTGAGGTAAAAGGTTTTAATGCCTTTTTTGTATTGGTCCTGTTTCAATATTCCATCCACAATGTACAGTTGACCAAGGTCTTTTACACTAATAATTAATCAAAACATAACTTTAGGAAGGTGTTTAATTGTCTGGATTATACAATCTTAATGAAAGTTTTCATTGAAAGCTCTTTTCACCTATTGAGCCAAAATTTCTATTGTAGTCTCATCACTAAAGCATACCTGGAGAAAACAGCAACAAACAAAAAAAAATCTCTAAATATCAACACTGCAATATTAATAAAAAAAATTATTTTTATATTATAATGACTTGCTGTTTTCCAGTCATCATCAGATGACTGGAAAACAGCAAGTTTTTATAATATAATGACTTGCTGAATAAAAACAGCAAGTTTTTATAAAAATTATAATGACTTGCTGTTTTCCAGTCATCATCAGTGAAACTACTGTACTTCATTTAATGCACTTCGTCAAACAGTCATCAACAGTGAAACTACTGTACTTCATTTAATGCACTTCGTCAAACAGTCATCAACAGTGAAACTACTGTACTTCATTTAATGCACTTCATCAAACAGTCATCAACAGTGAAACTACTGTACTTCATTTAATGCACTTCGTCAAACAGTCATCAACAGTGAAACTACTGTACTTCATTTAATGCACTTCGTCAAACAGTGATCATTACTGAATTTTTAAATGAAGTCTATTTTTCAATTTGTCTTTGATTTTGTTTACAGTGCGTCTTAATATTTTCACATTTTTCAATTTGACTTGATATCTCACATTTTCTTTGATTCTGTTTTCAGTGTGTCTTGATATCTCACATTTTCTTGATACTTCAATAATTGAGTAATGCTTATCTTTCAGAAGATATTGAATAATAGATTTTTTTCAGAACTGATGTCTTCTTTTTTCCCCATTTAGACAACTTTTTTTACTAAAAAATTATTTTGAAACAGATAAAAGTTGTTTTTTGTATTGAAAATATTGGAGCAAATTATACAAAATGTGTAAATATTGTTAAAATTGTTTAAAGTGTATTATAATATAAATCTAACGTTATAAATCAAAAAAGTTAACCAAAAAAAATACTGCACTTAAAAAAAACATAGTAAAACAGCACAACGAACAAAACACAAATATTTGAATTAAACAGATGCCGTTTGTCCCTCTGAAAATGTTGGTACTCTGAAATTAATTTTATATTGCTAATAGCCTTAAAGTATTAAGTTATAAATCAAAAAACATAAATCATAAAGACATTGCAAACCAATTTTAATGGCACTTAAACCATTAAATAGTTGAAATTCTACAAAATTCATTAAGTGGGCTAATAATTTGATTAGGCACTGTATGTATATATATATATATATATATATATATATATATATATATATATATATATATATATATATATGTATTTATATATATATGTGTGTGTGTATATATATATATATATATATATATATATATATATATATATATATATATATATATATATATATATATATAATATATATATATGTATATATATATATATATATATATGTATATATATATATATTTTATAACATATTTTCCTGTTAACATAAAGAACCTTACTTTATTTTTAAGTTATTAAGGTTATTATTAAGTACTAGCTAGCCAGACCTGTGAAGTACACAGGTCTTGGTAAGTCTATTCCACACTGACTGTTTCTATACTTATTCCTTACTTATTTATTTCCTTCAATATTTTTTATTAAGCTCTTTATTAAATGCTTTATTATATATATATATATATATATATATATATATATACATATTTTCCTGTTAACATTTTTTTTTTTTTTTTGTTATTCACCTCCTCAAGGCCGAGAAGGCCACTAAGACGAGGAGGCTACTTAATAGTGGTTATAACCCTCTCTCAACTCTATAACTTCGAAATACGAACCTTGACGAACAAAGCCGCTGCGCGGAGAAACAAGTTGAACGCGGTACTACCAGGGACGTGGTGGGGATCGAACTCGGAACCTCTCGCTTATGAAGCGAGTGTTTTACCACTGCACCACTACCGCATATAGAACATAAAGAACCTTACTTTATTTTTAAGTTTTTAAGGTTATTATTAAATACTAGCTAGCCAGACCCGTGAAGTACACAGGTCTTGGTAAGTCTATTTCACACTGACCATTTCTATACTTATTCCTTACTTATTTATTTCCTTCAATATTTTTTATTAAGCTTTATAGTAATCCGTTTGTCTCAAATTTTTTTTTTTTTTATGCAAACCTGATGCCTACCTATATATACCTATATATAAGGTTGGCAGTTTATTGCCAACTTTAAACTGCTAGTGGTCGGCATCAGGTTAATGACCTCGTTTTTCTTTATTCCAAGAGCTGGTAGATTAATTTAGATATAACTAAACTGTAAATATACTTTGAAGAAATTTAAGAAACCTTGGATAAAGATGAGGTTTTATGTTGTTAGTGACACTTCACTAAAAAACATTCTCTCAAAGTTAGACAAACAGTATTTTGGTCTAAAGAATAATGAAAAAAGAAGCTCTGCTAATAAAACCTTAAAAACAGTCTTTCCAGCATACCAGGTTTAAAAAACATATAAGACTTTAAAAATGATCCACCAAAAATAAGCTGATGTTTTTGGATTCGGTTGATTAAGACTTGGTTGTAGTAAGAAAGTTCATATATAGGAAAGAGAATATTAACTTTATTAGAATGGTTAAAAGTTACAAATAAAAATTTTAGAAGGTATTTTTATTGTTAATTATTTCAGTTAAAATTAAATTTTTTTTATGCTTGCAGGCAGTAGAGTGTAACAGAAAGAAAAAAAGAACAATCAATCAAAAAGTGCAATCAATGAAATCTAATTTTAAAAATGAATTTAGTTCTAATACAAGCTCTGATTCATTTTTTAATTCAACTTTTGAGCCTAGTGGCTATTACCAAGAATAACCACCACAATTTAACAGTAACGTAGCACCAAAAATTCCAATAGATATGTATGCTGGGAATGTTGCTATTATGGCTACACTAAATGATGTTTTACTAAATGTTAAGCAGAAGTGCCAAGTACCATTCTGAATGAAGCTACTGTTGATCTTGAAGAGTGGCTTTTACTGCTACCACAATACTGGCAGGAGCACAGAGAGAGGTTGGGACAAAAGGGACAGTTTGCCTTGGGCAATAGATGTTCAAAGGGCGCCAAATATAAAGAAGGCACCTAAAAAGAATAAGGTCATTTACTGATAACATAGGAAAATTTAGAAAAATAGGGGCAACTCTCAGCGCCTCTGGTTTCTGGTATACCCAATCTTTGTTTGAAGTTTTTAAAAAATATGCAAATAAAATTTAGAGAGAAGCTTGTTGATATGATGTAACAATATGTTGACATGATGCAACAATGTGTTAATGCAACAATATCTATAATATTAATAATATTAAACATACATAAAATATTTAATTTTAATCTGATTCTGAATATAAACGCTTGTAAACCTTACTATTAATCTAAATAAAAATGCCACACCGCATATTATCTAAATTTCAGCCAATTTAAAATGTAAGTTATACTATTTTTAGGGGAGAAAGAAAAACCATACCGTTTTAATCAAAAGTTCATATATTCATACCCTAGAAAAAAAAAAAAAAAAAAATATTTGTATGTATATATATATATATATATATATATATATATATATATATATATATATATATATATATATATATATATATACATATATTTATAAAAAGTTTTTGTTAAAGTTTTTTGGTTTAATTAAACAAAAAGTTTGCTTATTATTAAAAACAAAATAATCTCTATTCGCATATCTTTAATTATGTTTTTTCAATTGAGGTAAAATGTTAAAGTTATACTTCAATTAAAAAACTCATTTTTTTGTGTTAACTTATGTCATTCTGTTGAAATTAGAGCGCAAATTTCTACCAACAATGAAAAGTGATTTGTGAATGAGACTTTTTTTATATAAAATGTTTACAGCAAACATTTAGCAAAATTAAATAAAATTTTATTTACTTATATAAGTTTATTATTATTATTAAATTGTGTAATAAATACAAATTGATTATGAGAAACGTTGTTAATTTCATTTTGTAAAAGCATTTGCTAAAAACCATATGTATAATAATAAAAGTTTTTTATTTAATTTCGAAAAAAATATTTCTAAAAGCGTTTTGTTTTCGAATGTTTATGTTATGTTAAATGTTTTCGACCAAAATTTAACTAAATCTAAAGAGCTTTTGTTATTAAAATTATAACTTAAAATATTTATAACTTAATTAAAGTTATAAAGTTATTTGAGAAAAAGAAAAGTTTAAGTTTGTGAAAACGTTTGCTAAAAAAGATATAAAAGTTTTATTAGCATTAGAAACGAAAAAACATTAAATATGTTTTAGTGAAAAGAAATCATTTCATTGTTTTAATGTTTTAATGATGCGAAAACTTTATGAATTTATGAATTAATTAACTATATGAATTTATGAATTAATAATGAATGAAACAATGAAAGCTTATAAACTTCTTTCAAATAAATTTGATGTAATAATTAAAAAATTGATTGTAGTATTAAGTTAATGATGAAGACAATATGAAAGAAAACACATAAAAGATAACTTTATTCTTTAAAACAAAATCATTTAGAACTAGGTGGGAAAAAAAACACAATCAGATGCGATAAATTAGTATTTAGGAAGTCGAAAGAATTTTAAACGTTTTGTCAGGCAGTGGGCTGCTAAATAATAATTTTAAAATATTTGTTGTCTAAAGAATGGTGTATAACAAATTAAAACTTAATAAAATTATGTGGAACACCTATATCCAAAAATAAAAGATCGTTCCCCATAACTTAATGAAGAGCGCGCATAATCGCGCTTGCTAAAAAAATATTTGAGTTTTACGGGCGCGAAACATCGCGCTGGATAATTTTCTTCCTGTCAAGGCCTTATATATATATATATATATATATATAAGGCCTTGACAGGAGATATATATATATATATATATATATATATATATATATATATATATATATATATATATATATATATATATATATATATATATATATATTAGGGATTTTCAAAAAGTAATTATTTTGAAAATCAAAAAACCAAACCTTCTAGATTTGAAGCAAATATGCTAAAACTCCAAAAATATTTATAAAATAAATAAAAAATAGATTTTTATAAATATCAAAGTTCTATCAAAGTCATCAACTTTTTATTGATAACATGTTTTACTTAAACTTTAAAAAAGATTGAGTATTTTTTAATTAAAACTATTCAATCAGAAAGAAACTTTTGCTTGTTGCTCTTTCTTTTAAAAACTTTTCCTGAGTTTTCTTGCTTAATACTCCAACAGTAGTCTGCCATCACCATCTCAGTAGAATCATTTACTTTGGTCTTCATTCACATTTCTAAGATTTTCAAGAAACTAGTCAAGATGACTATTTATAATATAAATAGTCAAATTTTTTTTTTTTTTGTAGGCCTGTGTAATTTTATTATACTGTGGACCAAATTTTTTACAAATTAAACCATTAAACCTTTAAGACTTAATATTGATTATTTTGCTTAATAAATCTAAAGTATATATAGTCCAACAAATTCACAAATTTCTGTTTCATCAAAAATGTGTTGCTATATCAAAGCAGTCATGTGTGTTTTACATAACTGCTTGATGTAACATTGGGCCGTTTGATTTTTTTAATTGATGATTTTCCATTAAATTGCTCCATCCTTAAAACAGCACCCGCATATAATAATATTTCCAAAAAATGCATATTATGTCTACAAGAAAAATTTGAAATATTTACACATATAAACCAAGAATGCTTATTAAATAAAAAAAAAATGGAATTGATTTCTAAATGCAGGCATGAAAATAAGTTTCTCTTAAAAAACTATAAAATTAAGTGAGCTAAAATTGTAATAATGTTAAATCTTTAAAAATATATAGTTTAAAAAAAAGTAGAAGTAAAAAATTCTAAAGAATTCTTTTTATAATAGTGTTAACATATTCCACAAATATGTAAAACATTACAGTGTTTAAGACATTTTAAGACTTCCTGTAATTTAATTTTTGGTATAAATTGAAGTTTATTTTAACTAAATTTGATCATTCATTTCTGATGAGTCTTTATTGATAAAACTCAGTGTAAAATAAAATAAAAATTTTATAAGTGATTTTCTACTAATTTGTTTATTGCTCTTTTCTTTTAAGAGCATTGAGCACTAATATTTATAAGTTGATATAAATAATATTTATATGTTGATGTTATATTATGATTTATTTTTTCTACAGCATTTTGCTAGCGATGATAAGTTGTATTACACTGGAAAGATTAAATATATACTGGAGAATAACCCTGAATGTCTGGAAATATATTTTACTGAAGATGTTTATGATAATGACAACAAGTTTATTAAGGTTTAACAAATATTATTATTTTGATACAATGTTTATACAGGTATGATAATACAGTTACAGGTATGATAATGGTGTAATATTTTGCACTGTATGATGCAATTTTTTTTTGAAAACTTTAAAAATATTTTTTCTAATTCTAGGTTGTTGATCTAGAGACAAACGGTTCACAAATTCAAGTGGTAGATTCTAACAAAGAGATTTACTTGCAGAGACTTGCTGAATTTCGTTTACATGAATCTGTTTCCGAGGAAATTGACTCGTTTTTAAAAGGTTTTTATTTTGTGCAGTGTTAAAAGTAATAGTGTCATAAAGTTAGTCTGTTGCTTCATACAAGTAACAATGAAGTAAAGAAACTATTGATGTACTGCAAATAACTTTAGGCAGAGGCTTTAATACTTACATTGACTGAGTGTTATGACAGACAACATGTGCTTTTTAAAGACAAAAATTTTATTTGTTTTGTTTTTATTTTTATGTAATTCAACTTTCAAAACTCTCCAGTTTTTTTTTTCAAATCTAAAATACTGACTTTATTTTGCTATCTTTTGAAATATACATCAATTTTTTAGAAAAAAGAGATTGGTAACAAACATTCTAAATTTTTTAAATCATATTTAATGTTTTTCATACAATCTCTATTAATTAATATTTAAGTATGTTATATAAAATAATAGATACTAATAATATCCCATATCTGAGTTTTTTTTACAAACACAAGACTCAAGTGTTTGATATATTTATAACCTTTGTTTGTAAATTGAGAAAATGAAAATGAAAAATAGAATTAAAGACCTATAACAAATTAAAATTAAATTTGTTAAAAGTTTTTTGTGTTGTAAAGAAATTTTCAAAGGATTTTTAAGAAAACTATAATCTTAATTCTTAATGTGAAGCATCTTTATCAGATATTATTCCATTTTTTATGACTTTATAAGAATTTTTAATCAAGTATTAGCCTGTGAGACTTTCATTAGAAGTGTTTACTTAGTGAACATAAAACTCTTTTACATTTTTACACAATAAAAATTTGTTTCTTTACTTTTGTTGAAAAGTATAATGACAATAGCTAACTAGATGCAAGAAAGTTATTAAGTTTCATAATAAATGATATAAATATAATTTAAAATTTGATTGTGATGAATTGAAATTAGTGAAAAAGTGTTTGAAAGGGAGATTATTATACAAAAGTATATTCAAATACAAAATTGGAAGAATGTTTGAGTTACTTTGCTGACAGCTAGAAATAAATTAAAAGATTCCGCTTTTATTTTCTCAATGATGAAAAAACTTTAAATAGTACTCCAACGTACAAATAGTAAACAGAAAGGTTAAAAAGTATCTAAGTTCCCACTTATATAATGAGAAATGGGAGTCATTAGGCCGTGCGAATAAAAAAAGCAATTGCTTTTTACTTGTTTTTTAAAGCGTTTTTGGATTATTTGCTTAAATTTTTATTCACATAAAAGGGAGCAATTACTACAAAAATGCTAAGTAAAAGAAACAGCTTTTTTTTTATTCACCTGGCCTAATGTTCATGATAGAGGTAAAAAAACTTTTTAAAATTATTTTAAAGATGTAGAAAAAATGAGCTAGACATTAAAAATATTATCAAAAAATATTTTATATTTTTTTCAAGTGGAAAAGAAATAAAGTAGCCTTTAGCATATACAGTTCATGTAAAAAAATATTTTTTTTTCTTTTCTTACAGGGTTATTCATTTTCTTTCTTACAGGGTTATTCATTTATATATTTATTTTTATATGCATGTTTATTCATTCTTATATGTGCATTTATTCATTCTTATATGTGCATTTATTCATTCTTATATGCGCATTTATTCATTTTTATATGCTTGTTTATTCATTCTTATATGCATGTTTATATGCGAGTCAACCACCCATAAAATCTCTATTATAATTTTATATAAACAATAAATAGACTTTTATGTTTTTATATAGATATATTTAAAATATAAATTAGGTTGTTGCCACTGCTATTTATTTAAAAAATGGTTGCCGAGCCAGCACTGGATTTATGTAACTATGCATATTTGGTTGTTAAATAAAATTAAGTTAAACTCTGTAGTATCCATAATATTTTTAAGTTTCCTGATTACCCTATCTGTATTTCGAGGCCTTTCTCCCTGTTTGTACGTATGCTTTGAAGAAGAAAATAAATTCTTCTATTGGGTTAACCTGTGGCGTTTATGCTGGCAGATTCTTAATAACTATGCCATAAGAGACTAGTTTTTGCCTAACAGAAAGACTTCAGTGGAATTTACAATTGTCCATAACAAACACCGATGCTTCCACATTTTTTGAATTCCTACTCACTGGTGCCAACATTGTAGTAATGAAAGTACAAAATGAATCTGCATTTCAGCCTCCAGTATTTATTTCATAAGCCAGCACTCCCATTTTTGAAACAGCGCAAATCAAACTAACATTCTTGCCACAATTTGCAGGCGACTGTAAAATTACTAGCACACCTCTTAGCGAATAACCTTATGTGCTGTTAGTGTGCACATTAAATCCAGTTTATAAATATAAATATAAATAATTATTCATCCAAATAAATAAGTTTTTTATTTGAAATTCCATTAAATTTGTTTGCAAATACATAGCGTGCATCAATAACTTGTGTTGAGTTTCGTTCTTCTGGCACATGCACAACACGATTTCTTGATAAATCCGAGCGTTTGAATTTTCTTGAAATAGTTGGCTGAAAAATTCTGCTGCAGAAAGATTTTCTTTTATTCCTTTTGCGTACAAAGATTGTTTTCTTGTATGCATAGTTTAATAGTATTTTTTATTTGAGCATTTATAGGTCTTTTACTTTGTTTTTTTTAATCAGAAAACAAGTTAAATGCATTCATGTTGTCGAAATCTCCTCTGTTTAACTTAACAACAAGAATTTGAACTGTGAGCATAGATAATTAAAGTGGAAATAATTGTTTTAGATTCATTTTTTTCAACTAAATGCATTTCAATGTGCTCTTTTGTAACATTTTTTCCTTGTTTTACAATTGGCACTGCTATTTTTTCTTCCATCCATACATACAAACAGTAAATTATATATTAAAGCATACATACAAACAGGGATAAAGGCCTCAAAATACGGATGGGGTAATCAAGATGGGCATATAAGAATGAATAAATGCGAATATAAAATGAATAAATGCACATATAAGAATGAATAAATGCGCATATAAAAATGAATAAATGCACATATAAGAATGAATAGATGCACATATAAAGATAAATAATAATATGTAATATTTAAAAATGTTTGTACTGCAGTTTGACTAAATAAGCAATAAAGTAAAAATATTATTAACAATTAAGTTTTTTTTTTCATGTTTTTTAAAATCTTACTATGCAATGTGTTCTGTTATATACAAAGGTATCTTATAAAAAAGATTGTGATGTTATGACATGTTGTCTGCTTCGAAAAGTAATGATAAATAAATTTGCTGGTTCAAAAAATAACATTTTTGAAAAATGTCTGCAGCTCGCACCTTAATGTGTTTTATATGATAAAATAACATTGTTTTTAAAAACTTTTTAAATAAAAAATATTTTCAGGGGTGCCTCAAGAACGTTGAACATTTAATAGGTCCAAAACAAGAAAGAAAATTATTTTCAAAAATGTTAGTAAAAATGTTAGTAAACAATTTTTAGTTAAAAAATGTAAAATCTTAGCAAAATCTAAATTGAGGAATTTTTTTTTGAAATTTTTATATAATTTCACTTCTTTTGAGAGCTTTTTTTTCTTCTTTTTTTTTTATTAATATTAGGGACCCATTAAATGTTCAACTGTCTTGAGGCACCCCTAACAATATTTTTTATTCAAAAAGTTTTTAAATCCAGTGTTATTTTATCATATAGAACGCATTATAGTGTGAGCTTCAGACATTTTTAAAAAAGGTTTTTTGAATCATCATATTGTCTGCCTTTGGATGTTTGTTTAGGTAAATAGCATTAATTTAAAGAAAAAATAGATCTTTTATAACCATCTTTAGAATTAATTAATTTTTTGAATAAAAGGAGACTGAAGTTTTATGCTTAAACAGATATCTAAACAAATGATAGATAAATAAAACAGGTCTCTAAATTGGTCGAGTATGTTACAGATATAATATACACACACACACTAACATTAAATTAAAAACATTTTTGATTTAAAAAAATTTATATATATATATATATATATATATATATATATATATATATATATATATATATATATATATATATATATATATATATATATATATATATATTAAAAAACTCCTAGGTCTTCACTTTATCATTCCAGATGGGCTTCTTTCAATGTTTGATGAAAATGAAGTAGAGGTAGATGTTTACTGAAATTCCTGGTGTAGAAATCGTTATTCATAAATATGTTTTAAATAACTTTTTTTTCCAGCTGCTACTTTGTGGTATGGAATATATCAGTGTATCAGACTGGAAAGCAAATTCCACTTTTTTATTTGGTATAGATCTTAATGACAAGGTATTATATCTCATTGTAAATTATTTTCATTTGTTTTTATTTTAATTTGTTAAAATAAAACTAATAATATAAAAAATTAAACAAGCTTTAAGTCAGCGAATTGAATTTTACAATTTAAGTTATTATTATTGTGATTTTTTAATATAGCACTAATGCATTTTTTGCATTGTTTACTTTTTTATAAGGTATACTGATAATAATGAAAGCAAGACCGGTGAGGGATTTCAGAAAAGATAAGGATCTATCATAGTAAAATAAAATTTCTAGTAAGGTCCAAATCCAAGCTAAATTTTCCATTCAACAATTCTTTTAATTTTTTTTAATCATAACTATTGTACATTTTATTTTATTATCACACACTTTTGCATGTATACTTTATGAAATTAAGAGGTTTCAATTAATTCTATTATCCAACATTTATTAACATGCAATACAGTACAACCTGCCACATGCCTGGTATCTTTGAAAGACTTGCTTTACTAGGCAAAGGTTAATTTTAACTTAAAATGCGTTCTGCCTTAAGACTTTTGGTTAAGCAGAGAATCAAGATTTTGTCTCAATACAAATACTATCTTAGGAAATACAAGTACTATCTTAGTTAAGTGTATCTGGTTACTGTTTTGTAGAAGGCCTTCTAGGCAAAGACTCTAGAAGTATACAGAAAGTTGAACCGCTTTCCACCCTTTTCTTCATCTCAAAAACTAACATAGGTGTAAACTTGTATAAAATTGTTTTCTGAGAGATTTCAACAGCTGCAACATGTTGAGAGGTGATTTCAACAGCTGCAACATATAAGAGTGTTAAATTTCCATTTTACGCACATATGGTGTCCATGTTACACACATATGGTGTCCATGTTAATGTTTTTAATATGCATTGTTAAGATTACATAAGGAGTAGGACTGAGCCCACTGCAACTGACATTCAACAGTTTCATTATTAGATCTCAGTGTTAATGTGTTAATTATTAGATCTCAGTGTTAATGGCTATAATTATTTGGCCTAAGCATATACTTGTATATTCATTAATCTATTTGATCAGCACTAATGTTTATCCCGTCAGACAAACATTATCGCCACTTATGCTTTACCCCGCGAATTATGCCTAATCCATACTGCAGTAAAAAAGGACTCACTTCAAAAAACCCAACCATCTCCAAATTTGCACAATACCAATATTTTTTTGATGATATGATATTAAAGATGTAAATCCAATATACATCATAAATAAAAATAACTAAATATATCACCATACCACTGAAAGAAGACATGAAAACACAATAAATTAAAATTCTAATAGAAACACAAAAATACTAATTAATTTTTTCTTAAGACATAAAACTAAATCTAATGCTAAAGTCCATTATTGTCACATTACTAAATCTTGTATTTTATCTGAGAAGATTTGCAAATCTTTTACAATGTAATTAATAAAGGTAGATCTATAATTTCATCTCTTATACAAAAACCTAATTTTATTACCTTACTCATAGTAATAATATCTTTGCCTAGGATTTTATTCATTGACTTTTCCCTTCCTATTATCCTAAAGAAACAGGTTAGTTCTTTGCTAGATATTTTAATCACTCCACTTTACATTGCTAAATTTATTTGTCACCTAAACTTTTTTACAGTTGTGGTTTAGACTTTTCTACAGCTTCTGGTTTAGATGTCATTCCTATCACAGTACTATAAAATATTCTCCAGTATATAAATAACTCTCAGCAATACTTTTGAATACATTTGTTATCTGTTTAACTGAATTTTGTTTTCTTGTCTACTAAAAAAATGGCATCTATTATTCCACTTTTTAAAAACTCTGGAGATTGTTCTGACCCTTCTAACTATTGCCAATCATCTATCAGGCTGCAACGTGTAGAAACAGGTAGATAAAAATGGTAGAAACTATATACTCTATTGTCTTGTTAAAATATCATCACTTTTTCTATCTTTTAGAATAGGTAATCGATCTTGAATTTGATCTTTCCTCTGTGACAGTTTGGGGCTTGCAGTACCTTGCAAACTTTAACCCCAAAAAAAGTTATTTAAAATTATTGCAATATTGTTGCAACAATTGCAATAATTTGTTCATATTCTTATATTGATGAATGGCAGCACTATTACTAGGTCTACTTTATGTCTTTATTCTACATCTCGAGGAGGGGGTATTCAAAAGTGTCAGCAAGTATCACATGGGAGAGGGAGGGGGTGTTTTGCTACAGTGTGACGTGACAAATAACATTTTAAATTAAGTTTTTTATCACTTCATAATTTGTTAAAATATAAACTCGGAGATAATGCTTTTAAATATCATTCATGAAATGCTTTTAAATACTCTTCATGTTTATGAAGGATATTTAAAAGCATTTGCAAACAAACCAAAGCAAAAGTCTCAAGAAGAAACAAATAAAATCTGGTCTGAGATTAAAACAAAGAGCAAAACATTATCCGAATTAAATGTAGAAGTTCAAAAAAAAAATTGAAAGAGCTAAAACAAGTTGTACTTCGAAATAAACTTGGTATTTTATCTTACTGGACAAAGTTACCCAACCAAGTACCGAATACACCAATAAAGCGTGCAATTGATCTAAAATCACTTTTGATGGTGTAACTGACGTGACCCCATCAATTACAAAAAGTGAAGAGAGTGAAAAAGAAAACTCCAACTTTTCAAACGTTTTAACAAAACAAGCCCAGGTAAAAAATTTAATTTTACAAAAAGGTATTGCATATCTTACTGAAAAAAGAAATTTCACAAGAAGATTACCAAATACTAGGGTAAAAAATAAAAACTTTTGGTAGAAAAAAAACGAGATCTTGTACTTCGTCAAAAAACCACTGAACGCCAAACAGCAACCAGACTAAAAAGAAAAAAAGCAATAGAAGTATTTAGATCCAGATATTAGAAAAAAGTTGTGTGGAATTAAAAATTCAGTATCAAATCGTCGACCACTAGCCTGTGATCAGGACAGTTTAATAAAAACAATTGTAGATATTACCATGAAAGGCTTGCCATTACGAAATTGCCATACGACTACTCATGTCCAATGGATTGCCATACGACTACTCATGTCCAATGGATTGCCATATGACTACTCATGTCCAAGAATTCAAAATTCCTTAACAAATAGAGTTTGTACCACAGTTTATATTTTGCCAAATCTAATTGCCACTATCAAATAAATGAAACAACCAAAACAGATTGCTCAAGTATTGGATATTTGAGTAAGATTCAAAAAATTAGACCTCATCGCCTAATTGCTCAACGCCTATCTGAACTCATGTTTGTCTCGTTAAATTCAGGCAAAGAAACATTTGCGATGTATAATTGGGACGATGCTGATACCTCTGATTTGGGAATAAATTTAGGTTTTACACAGATATTTATCAATTGTATTTTTTTTTTAAATAAACTTTTACAATTAAAATATACATTTATAGAAAATTTTTTTTGTCTTTGTCACGTCACACAGGGAGGTGGGGGGTGGGGTTTTTCAAAATGTCACATAAGGAAGGAGGGTTATAAAAACGTATTATGTGAACAGCCCCTAACAACTGTAACAACCTACACAACTGTAACAAAAAAAATCAGAAACATTAAAATCTGAAAATGGTAAAGTTAATGTAAACAAATTACTTTGTTAAAATTTGTCATAAAACGAAAATTAAATGTGTTATGACCTCCTCCCCCCGATCACTATACGCCTTATATTTTGCAATTTAATTTGGATAGAGTTTGTTTTTTAAAGGTTATGTCATGGTTTTGGTCAATTCTATCCAGTTTTAGTCAGGAAGAGCTGTCTCGCTTACTTCAATTTACAACTGGCTGTGGACAGTTGCCTCCAGAAGGATTTGCTGGACTTTATCCTAATTTTCAAATAACACGAGCTGGTTTAACTGATTCCTTACCTACTGCTCACACATGGTAAGGTTTTTTTTAATTTGCCTCTTTATTTTTAGCTTCATAAATCTGATAAGTTAAAAGCTTAATAATATATTTCAACTACTCTAATATTGTGCGTAATGTGGTCTGATTTGAATGCGAATTTATAATAGTAACCTATACTATTATAAATTAATATGAATGCGATAAACTTAACTTTATACCATAAAATACAAGCTGTATGTGATAAACTGTGAACCTAGTATAAATAAGAGATTTTTAAATTATTTAGCTTCAACAATTTGTGTTTGCCTCTTTATACAAGCCGAGAAGAAATGAAAAAAAAACTAATCATTGCTATGAACGAAGGTTCTGAAGGTTTTGGTCTTGTTTAAAATAATTCTTTTTAGTTTAGTGTGTATGAGACAGGAGGGAGGTAGGTGGGAAGGTAATTTGGAGCGTATATTGACGGAATAAAATGGTATATATTTTGCATCACTATATTTTACAATTTTTATATCATATTGTTATGGCTGCTGTAAATAAATTTAAATTTCCTTTATGTTTTTATACGTTACTAAAGATTATTTTGCGCATTAATAAAGAAAAAAGATAAACCTTGTAATTATATAAGAAATATTTTTACTCAAACACGATAGATTTTTAACGATTTAAAATAAATGTTTATTTTTTAAAAAACTTGCTTTTTTTTCTTTCATTGCTATCCATCAACCAAGTTTTTCGAAACTGTCAAATAAATTGATGTTCGTGTAAGTTTCAAATTTCATTGAAATAATTTTTGGCTTTTAAAAAAAAAAACTTTTCATGGATTTAAAACGATTTCCAATAAAGTTTAAATTTTTTGATGAATTCCAATCTAATTTAATTTAAAGTTTGCTTGGTTTTTTTTTTTTTCTAATTAATGGAACCCCGCGTTTTATTTTTTTACTTTCCCGTATTTTTTTTCCCCTTTCCAATTATTGTTTTAGTTAATAAGAAATCGGGTTATTTAAGAAGTTTAGTATTGTTTCTATCGGGCTTACAAAACGAATTTCAGTAGATTTTGCTTTTTCTCCATTTCAAAAAAATCGTTAACTAATATATATATATAATAAACCAATCATTCTTCGTTAATATTTTAATTTTTTTTTAATTTTATTTTTTGTAAATAAAAATAGCTTTGCAATGTAATCTAAGAGTTTTTTTTTAAGATATGTATAAATTTTTTAAAGATATGTATAAACCACAGTAAGAATGTTACCCTACCATCAGAATATCACTCAGGTATTCTAAGGAACAAATCTGGATTTTGTATTCTAAAACTATTTATCCATTCAATACCAAATAGATTCTTTGTACCACATATGGAATATTAATTTTGATAATTGCTGCTATATCAAAAATTTAACCTTGACAATCTTTATTTTGAAAGGCTACAGAAAATTATTGAGCAAGTCAAAATATATTTCCTAAGCTCTGGTTCTTGCTCGTATTTGAATACTTATTTAATTTAGTAGTTCGGATTTTTTCCAATAAAAAAAAAAGTTGCATTTAAAATGTTGGAGTAAACATGCTAAATGCAACTCTTTTTAGTTTAGTTGTTACATACGTAGAAACAAAACAAAAAAGTAGGGAAGAGTGGGGCACCATGAAACATAGCGATATAAAAGTATTGTGACAAATTCTTTTAAGTTTGAATTAGTTACTACAAGATAATATCTAATGTAACAAAATAGTTATATTACAGTTACTAAAAGATCAATAATATCGAGAGAGGTTCAAATTTGTGTTTTTTCTGCTGCAAAGTAATTTATAACTTTTTGGAGTTGTTTCGTTTTACGGTATTTTATTCACTGTATTCTTCGGAAAGTGCCTCTATTTTGTAAACTATATTCCATGAGCTCTTCAATGTGGCAAAGACATTTAATAAAATATTTTTTTGTAAAATTAAAACCAGTCATCTTATTCTATCGGAGTATATGGGGTACCATGAAACAGGTTTAGTGGGGCACCATGTAACTATATTAATGTACCGTTTTGTAAGTTATTCGATAGTTAAACATACTATAATTAGTTGCTGGCGGAAATATATACTTCTATATTATAATGTCTCGCCTATCTCGGTTACAAATTTTGTGGATCATTAAATAAAATTTATGTAGTAAAAATAAAAAAGCCGAAGCCCAGTGATTGCCTCAGAAGCTAGAGATCCGTGGTTCAACGCCACCTCTAGGCAAGTTTTATATCATCGGTAAGGAAGAAGACGTAAATTTCCTTTCAAATGCTTTTCCGTGGTGCTTTGTGATAAGATCGTAAGAACTTCTTGGGGCCTAAAATAACCTAATAACCTAAAATAACTTTAAAAAAAAAGAAGCTATGTTATTCAGTATTTATGCATGTATTATGATGATGTACTTAGGCAGTAATAAAATTAATTTTGTCTCATTAACATACGTTATACGGGTTTACATAAACATAAGTTTGCTTTGTAATACTAATATGAAGATATTTATGAACTCTCTTTTGTTAAAGAACAGAAACATTTGCAGATAATTTATGGTTACGTATTCTGCACCAAGTAATTGTTCTACTTAGTAAATGAAACTCGTATAAGTTTGTATCTGAAAGCAAATTCTAAATGTGTGTTTTTATCTATACAGATATTTTAAAAGAAAAAAAGGAATAAAAGGAGGAGAAACCATTACTATAAAACCCAAGTTTTCTACAAGAAGTGTATTTACTGAAGAACAAGAAAATCTTTTGAAGCAGTATGTTGTCAGCTGCTCTTAAATGTTTTATGGACAGTCTGTTTTAAATTTACGATCTGTTGCTTTAGATATGGCAATAATAAATAATATAAAAGTTAACTGTATTAAAGTAACTGGATTAAAAAAAAAGCTGAAATAGAATTAGTGCATCCGAAACCGGTAGTAGTGATACCGGTATTACCGTCCTTTTAAACACTAAATACCAGTTTCGTGTTTGCTCAATACCGACATTAAAAAATGTATGTAAAGGCTTGTGCGCGATCACTTTCTTTCCAAACATACTACTATATGTTTTATATCATACACACGTACATATATATCATATATACATATCATGTATTTGTTTTCTTATATAATCTTCAAGTATACTATTATAATTACAACTTACCAATTTTGTTCTCTTTCTTTTTTTGTTTTTGTTTATATTCATTGTATTTTTTAAAAAAATAAATCTGCATTTTAGTAAAATTGTTTAAAAACAGTTAAAAGAAACCGATAAATACAACCCAGTAACGAACAATATAGCCTGATCTATACCTGAGTATACTTAACTTTATATCTGATATAAATGAAATTTCAATCATCTGTTCTTACTGCTCTTTTGTTCAATTTCTGCTCACTAAAGTGCCTATAGAATGTTGTTAGGTACTGACCAATATTCTATAATTGAAACGGTCTGTTTTAAACCATTTGCAATTAGTCTAAAAGTAATGTAGTCAAAAAATAGTGTTTTGTCACATCCCTACGCACCCTCCTTATTTTATATATATATATATATATAAATATATATATATATATATATATATATATATATATATATATATATATATATATATATATATATATATATATATATATATATATATATATATATATATATATATATATATATATATATATATATATATATATATATATATATATATATATATATATACTTTACTCTCAGTAATATTTTTTAAGATCTCTTTTTTTAGCTTTAGTTATTGCAATGTTGCTATTATAATTCACTTCTTAATAAATTGAACGCTGTTGGAAGAAAATTGGAAAATACAAATAGGTCTTTATAACTATACAATTATTTACAAGTAACGCTAGTTGATTGTTATTTTTAAAACAATCATTAACTATATTTACACTTCCCCTAGGTCATAACAACCACTTCGTCTCACGAACTACAACGCTCAGGAGCCTTCCTCTCCTGCATGCTTTTTCGCAACATTGGCGCTTTGTTTGTTTCATTTCCGAGGACCACAACGCATAGTTCTTCATCATTTTCTGGATCCTCATTCAAATCAGTAAGTAAAACTTTTATTTGTCCAAGATCTTCATTCAAATCATTGTCAACTCTTATTCATCTTTGGTCTCGTACGTGTCAACACATTTTGCCCACGTCTACCATTTGCTTTGAGATTATCCCTGTAATTATTTCAAACTTATATTGAGAGTCGCATCCGTTATACGAGGGTTTACCCCATACTTGATTTTTCAGTGCAGTAGAAGACTTACAACTATTTGTTGAACTAACTTTATACCAACAAACTGCCTCCAGTTTGCTGCACGGAACTCGATTAGATCATTCTTCATTTTCATTTGCAGAAGGTACATAATTGAAGTTTAACGTTTCATTTATTTACAAACTGTGAAATCAATGTGCTTCAAAATGCACCATCATTGTCCGTCAGTATTTCATACGAATCTATGAACATGCTTGATTACTTTGGAAGATAGCGGAGTTCTAATAATGCCACTTGTTGCCATTTCAGAGGGTTTATCAGCCATTTTGAACCAACTATTAGACACTTTAGTAAGAGCATCGGTTAAGTTAAACTCTGAAGCAACAAGCCTAATATCTACTTTACTTTGGTATTCTTCCACTTTATTTGCAATATTCTTGTTTTCAATCTAGATTTTCCAGTGAGTGCATCGATAATCCAATAGAATACCGCTTTCGAATCAGTGCAGATTTGCAAAATTTCCATTTTCCACTTAAGCCCATATTTAGTCCTTAAATTACTGCATCAGGTTTGGACATGTTTATATGAGTTGTAATCTTTTCTTAACCAACAACCGTCTTCGATTATATTGACATCAACCTCAACAATCACTCCTAGTGCTATTGAACTAGCATCTACCCAAATTATTGCCTCGTTTCTATAAACACTCCTAATTCCTTTTGCAGGTTCTTCATTACGTGTTCTTTTAGCCATATTATTTAGTCTTTTTTCCAGATAATTTCATTTTATCTTTTTATCCCATGTTTTTGTCAGGGTGTTCTCTGTTTTTTTAACATACGACGAAGCTACACGCAACCTTCTACAAAGAAAAGATGTTGCGTCTTGTTTATAAATTTGGAATTTCACTAAAATCATTATTTCTTCTCCAGCAAAAGATTTTATTTTCCATCCCGACCTGTAAACCAAAAACCTTCCTCCTTTGGATACGCGGACCACTGGCTTACAATGTAGACCATACATTTACAAATAATCAAGTTTGCAACAAACAGGTATTATGTCTATATTCACAAAAGTATCATCAGTGTATGATGACTTTCATTTCCAGATCGCTTGGTCTTAGATAGCACTTTGTTAGATAAGCACTTTGTTCAACACAACTTTCATTTCATTGACTGGCGCAACGTTTAGTTCGAATCCCAAGCGTGTTAAACAAAATCTTTGTCCAGGGAACATAACAGTTTGGTAAGCCCAGAGTTTCTCATCAATTTTTAGTTTCGTGTAAGCTGAAGATAAATCAATTATTGAAACATTTTCTGCGAACCGTCTCCAGTCTTTATGTTTGTCAGCACACGCATCTGTGTTTGTAATGAATGTGTTCAGCTCCCGGAAATCTAATACTGGTTGTAATTTTCCTTTGTTTTGCTGTACCACTCCCATAAGAGGAGTGGTACAGCAAAATTTTTATCAAAAAAAA